CTCTGACGGGGCTGGAAAAAAAAAAAACGCGCTGTAAGGAACGCCTGGACGCCGGTTACCATACAGGCCAATTCTGTTTGTGACTATATATATATATATATATCGTCACAAACTGAACTGCCCAGTGAACCGTGGGCACCAAGAGAGTACAAGACAACACACGAGTTATACATACAGATACATTTGTCGCGAGTCGAAGATTTATATTATATGTCTATTTGTATATAAATATTGTATTACATAATATTCTATTACATATAATATTTATGTACAAATATACATATAATATAAATCTTCAACTTTCAATATATATATATATATATATATATGGTAACCGGCGATCGGGACGGGCCGTTCGGGGATGCGTTCGGCCGTTCGCGGGCTGAACGGGGACCCAAAAAAAAAAATACGTGGGCGAGCATGTTTTGACACCGCCATCTATGGCGATTTGTGATTCTTATTTGGCTTAGCCAAATGACTTGACATTTTTCATGCACGTATGTCACGTCACAGACAACTCGCAAAAAAAAATAAAAACCAAAAAAAAAAACAATTTTTTTTTGTCCCCGAAACAAATTTAGTCGGGGGCCGAACGTCGTCGGGTTCGGACCCCGTAAGGGACCACGAACGCCCGCACATACGGAGGTCTGTTTGGGGAACTCCGTACATACGGAGTGGTGACGCTATATATATATATATATATATATATATATATATATATATATATCGTCACAAACAGAACAGCCCGGTAAACCGTAGATAGAGAGAGAGAAGAGGACAAGAAACGAGGGGCAGTGATATATATATACATATATAGATATATAGATATATAGATCGTGCATGAACGGTGCGCGACGTCATCCTCGACCCATAATGTATGATGTGTTCATGACTCTTGTTTTTTGTTTTGTGTTTCGAGATATCATGTCGCTCAGTCTGTGGCTGTGTCATGGATCTTCATGATGACCGAAAAAAGTATTCGCTCCGTGAGCGTATGCGCCGTCTGCCACCATGCATAACGGACGGCCTTGACAAGTCAATTGCAGAAGGCAATGAAGGCAAATATGACCTCGACGACATATATAAACATATAGAGGATGTGACAAACGACCTCAACAACGCACGTGCTGTGCTGTCGACATTGTCTTCCTGGGTGCAAACAATTGTGTCGTCCTTGCAAGAAAAAAAAAAATGGAATTGGATAACCGGGAGGCTCTTTGCACAATACGTGAGCAACGGCTGCTGTGGGAGGAGGGCAAGCCACGTGTCGACTCCACTAACCATTCGACTCCGTTCCTTGTGTCGGGCCCCGACATTCATGGCTCCACTGAAGTCCAACTCGATTTCTCTTTGCCACAAGCTGCGGCCTCCCTATCAGGAAGCACGACCCAGACGCCTGACTCTGTCAGTAAATCCAGGGACAACTCTGCATCGTATGTTTCCGTGTCGCGTCAGGGTACGGGTCATGACGAGGAGCATAACTCTGTTGGCTGCGAAGGACGAAATTCTCAAAAGTCGAAGAAACAAAAACAGTTCAGTCGTTGTCCCGGACCCTCGAACTTGGACTCGTGGATGTAGATGAAAGGCTAGTGCTCGGAAATAACAACCTCGACGATGTTGGAGTTGTAATGTCAAAGTTGGAGCCTCGAAACGGTGTGTGGAGGCTTGTCGTTTGTCTGCTATACTCTATCTGCAAGATCGAACCTTTGTATGGATATTTGATTCCCATGTTCCGCGCACCGACACTGACTTCCACCGCATCTGTTGCAGATACTCACGACGCGACACTATAATGGAGCAGCCACAACCTCAAGCACCCATCAATGAAGATAATGGGGACATGGTGTACGGCCGTCGACCAAGACATAGAGCTGTGCGCGGTCAAGGGGGCCCCGGGCTTGGGCCAGCAGTCGTCGCGGCACGTCGCCCACGACCTTCTCCCCCGCAAATGAACGGGGATGAAATACGAGCAACATGGCCGCATCCCGCGTTTTTGGTTGAGACCGCAGAACAGACTGAGGGTGAGGAGGACCGCAATGAGGAGTTTTTGCATATCCTCGTTGGAAACGATTAGTTGGACGCGGCGGCTAACAGATTCGCAGGGTATAGGGAGTTTGCGAACTTGTGCGGTTACACTCGCCGTTAGAGACTGTTGGCGGAATTCGAGGAGGCGATGCGTATGAGGTGGCCTAACCCGCATAACGATGGTTACGTCGGCTTTATTCCTG